TGAAATGAAGTGTTGGCGGAGTCTCTGTCTCTGGAGGTGAGAGTTGGCCCTAATTTGAGTTCACGGATCTCATCGCCGATTCCCAAACGATCTGTGATTGCATTCATGGCTGATATGGACTAACCATGAGCTCAACCATCGGATGATTCAGTAGTACTTCTTGTGTTTGGGCGACAACGCAATGGTCACAGCAATCGCTTCATTCGCACAATTAATTAAACCACAGATTTTACCACTTCTTGCGATGGCATATGTTTTGCAAATCCGCTAACGATTTGCTTGTATTTCGTCAAAACGATTACTATATATATTATAATATGAGATGACATACAGTAATACAGTATAACAATGCATATGACATAAACAGATACAACACTACACATGCATTCACAACACATTTACTCAATTAAATGTCCATTTATTCAATCAAAACAAATACTTTCAACAAATCATTGCAACAATTATTTGTCGGCTTTAAAAACGAGACACACTTTGGATAATACTTACATATAATGTATGCCTTGTTTTGTGGATATATTGCACTTCAAAAGTGGTGTTCATATGAATGGTTGTAATTGTAATCAAACAAATAGTGAGAGTATTAGCGGATAATTAATAGTAATAAATGACAACAAAATAACGATTCAATTGAAGTGATTGTACAGAAAAATGAGAAAATAAGTCGTTTTTGTCTTTATATTTATATCGCAATAATGTGTGAAATGAATGGCATTTCGTGTTTAGTGTCACGACATCTGCCGTACAATCCATGCAAACACTAAACACTCACAAAACGTTTGTTTTCATTGCATTTGGCACTCAATTCATTGGATTCACTATTAATTGTGATTAACTGTCGACCGAAACAATGGGAAAGGGATTCAATAACTTTATGTGCAAAAAGCCTTTCCATCCCGCGTCCAGGGATAACATCAAAAGGGTATGTCTTGTCTATTGTCTTGATTTCGTTTACTAATTGTCTTTAAATGAATGTTTGATTAATGAATGGATATGTGTTTTGTATCTCAGGTATGGATGGCTGAACAGAGAGACATCGACAACAAGAAGAAGGAGGACGACCTCAGGGCTCAGTACGAGAAGGAACAGGACTTGTATAACAACAGGTACGCCATCACTACCGATGATGAGGTATATAACGGTATGGCAACTAACTGTCTATTTGATCCGATAGGCTATTAGTGAGTACGGAAAGTAAGGACAAGTTGTCGCTCAACTTCATGTATGAGGCGCCTAAAGGGGCGCAGAAGGAACGGCTCAAAGAGGACGACGAACCCGAGTATAAGTTTGAATGGCAGCGAAATGCTCCCCGAGAAAGGTATTGGCCACTTATTGTCACAATTAATACTAATTGTTTTGTATTTATTGAAATAGTTTTGCCAAAAACAATATGGATATCAGAGACCAACCGTTTGGCATTCAAGTCCGTAATGTTCGGTGCATTAAATGCCACAAATGGGGTCATTTAAACACCGACCGCGAGTGTCCGCTCTATAACCAGGGAAGCTCTCTAATGGACGGATCAAGTATGTGATGATTGCATTTAGTTCTTTGTTTGTATTTGAAACTAATGATACAATTTATGAAATGGTAGATAAGGTGTGTCCGGACGAACTCATGAGAGCCATGCAAGAGGACGGTCTCGCCCTCAAGAAGAGTATTGTCGGCCAACACTTCGATCCAAATGAGTTGAATCAAGTGATGATCGCTCAGGAAGAAGATCCCGAAACCACTTTCTTAAAGACCTTATCCTATAAGGAGAAGAAGAAGTTATTGAAAAAGTTAAATAAATTAAGTGTCGCTTCGAATGGCGACTCAAAATCAAAGCACAAGAAACACAAGAGTCATAAAAAGAGCCGAAAAGGCAGTGAAAAGGATTCGCACAAAGAAAGGGATCAAAGAAGACATTCGGATAAAAAGAGAAGTCATAGAAGCGATGATTCGGATGAGTCTAAGCATAGAAGACATAAAAGAGATCACAAGAGATCTGATACAAGAGATAGCGTCGACTCCTCTAATAAAAAACGAAGGCATTAAAGAAATGATGATTTCATATCTAAAACATCATAAAATATCGTTATCTTTATTTTTCTTTATTTAAAGCTAAAAATTATTACAAAATTATGAATTTAATTATAAATAAAGTTCAAACATATAATTTTATATTTTTTATTAAATAATATGTAATTTAATGTTAATAAAAATAAAATTAATACTTTCTTCTTTCATTAAACAAATGGACATTAATTTATTAATAATAGAGTCTCTAAAGCGGACAAAAGCATCGAAATTGTCGATTGTTTGGCAGAAGAAACGGCCAATTGTTTGTCCAAAAGAGGTCTAATTTATAGACAGGAAATTCGGTGTGATTTTGATTACTCAACGCAAATGAATCGTTAAAGTGTTCGCTCAAAACAAGTCCAACGAAAGCGAACAAAATTAAAATTAATTTTTGCATATTTTTACATTCATTTAATAATCTTCTCATTTGATCGCAACTCTTTTTAATGGGAATAAATTAATTCAATGAATGGGCAAAAAGTGGGCAAATGTAGTGCTATAGTGAACTGGATATTCGAGTGCAGGTGTAATACACAATAGACTGGGAATTGAGTTCAAACAAATAATTAGCAAAAATGAGAAGCTTTTGTGGCTGTTATTCACAATAAGCAAATACAATGCGGAAACAAATTAAACATATTTAACAAATGTATTAATTTTCTTAAAATAACAGATTAAATGACCGGATATTTAAAACAATGTTATTATATCGCAATATTTAGCGTTAAGATATGAAAAACTGATTTCCTATTTTAAAATAATAATATTTCACTCTTTGACAAAAGAATAGTTTTGTAAATGTTTATCAAAGTATTCATATTTAATAATCATATGAGAATTGTTTGCGTCCTATTGAGTCTCAATTACTACTGTATAATCACAACTCTATTATTCCATATAATATTTAGCTATATTTGATATATTTTCTCATTTTATACGGTATTAAATAGCTTACACACCGACTATGAGTTAAGCCTTGATAATTATTCTAGGATTGTCTTTAACCTTATTCAATAGAATAAAACAATGGTTTCAATAAATGTGTCAAATTATTAAAATAAGTATAATTAGACAAATGTCTGATTTAATATTGTAATGATATTTAATATGCATATTCTGTATATCAATATAAATCTAATCAAATACAATCGTAATGTTTGGCCACAAGTCTTGCAATTCTATTAAAAAAGTTTTCAAATACATGTATATTTCATGAATATTAAAAATACTGTTATTTTATTCAATAAAATTTAAATTATCAACAAATATATAAATATTTAATAAATGTTTAATAAATTAAAAATCAACTATAATTTAAAATTGAGTGCCATTTGTCGGGAACGCAGAGAAAATACTGGTCCATAGCCTCACAGAATCGGATGCGGTATAAATCGGGCTGAACTATAGTCGGCAGCTTTCCCTGACTGCCCACTGACTTCACCACTGATTCAATCTTCTTATCCCAAGTGAAGGGACGGATGTAATCAATAATTCCGACCACAAATTGGTTCGTCTCGTCTTCAATGCCAACCAATAGAGAGTAATCCATAACAGAATGCGACGACAAGAACAGCGAATCGTTATCAATGGCTGTCCTTAATATGGCCTTCGAGTAGGAGTGGACATAGAGAGGACAGTCGCACGTCATTTGAATCAGATTCTCGTCCAACAGTACGATTTGATCGCTTTTTATGTTTAGAGAGTTTGTATTCACCAAACGATTTCTCATCGAACCCTTCAAATCAAACTTTTGGCTTATATTACATCTATAAAACAGATTCTCCATCACTAATAGATAGAGTTTGGATTCGTTATTTGTGGCCGTATTCTTATAACTGGTCCGATAGACGCCCACTATTCGGGCCAACATTGAGGGCTTCGATTCGCTTATAGACCGCAAACAGTAATCAAAATAATAGTTCGCGATATTAAGGAAAGATTGCAATTCAAGTTTTGACATCTCTTTTAAGATGAACCGGTCATTGATTGTCTTGCAGAATGTTGAGCCCGATTTGCCGCCTCTAGCCTTCCATGGGATACAACTGCTTAGTGACCGAATGTACAACTCTTCGCCGTTCACTGAATCCAAGACATTAGCCCTAAACTTACGAAAATGTTCGGCAAAATACACACAACAGTAAAACTTTGCGTTCGAGTCATTGTACTGAAGATCGATGTGTTGAGCGACAGTATTGGCTGAGCTTTTGCTTATAGAAGAATCAGTTGTGGTCTCTATTTCTGAGGAAAACGTTAGCTTTCTTTTGATGAGAGGACTCGACGACTGACGCATCAGTTCTGTCAACTGTCGCTCGTAGTCATAACTGGTCAACGAGTAGGCAATGATAGATCCCGGGTCGTCGTCCTTCACCACTATTGCTATATTCTCTTTATATGCGGGAAGAATATAGTGTTCACTCAACGGGAATGGATTATTAACGGTTAGATTGTTTGCATTGGAAAGAAATTCTTTAAAAATACGCTTAACAGCGGAAGGCGTGGGTTCGGAGAGTACGGGCTTTATCTCAGTAGATCTCAAAGACTGGTTGTCCTCTTGTTTTTTGTGATCGCCATTCGGGTCGTGAATCGTATAAACGGCATAGTTGTCAGAACTCGCCTCAAAGTCAACGCCATTCTCGAGACAGTGATTTATACCGACGTCTACTTCATATCCATAACTGGAAACTGAAAGTTGTGTGTCATCTCTCCTATGTATCCGCTCTCTCATGTGATTAATATCTTGTTTCATGTCATCGTTAGGTTTAATAGTTTCCAACGCTTTCAAAGTTTCTTTGCACTCAATTTCTTGCTCTTCGATACATGCCTTCAACACTTCTATGGGATTGATGTCACCTTTAATGGCGTCCAGACTCGACACAAGCGAAGTGGCGCTTGAAATCGAAATAGTTCTCGAATTAATGCCTGAATGATCCGGAGTTAAGGTATCTGTTGGCGGACTATGCATATCATCGCTTCCTGTGCTTACAATAGTCGATGGTTTGGGTATAATCGTTGGGTTGGGAACGGGTCCCGATTTTTGTGCGATTTTGTCGTCCTTTTTCTTATTGGTGACAAAGTCTTGGATTTTTTGATTCCATGTGTGAATAGATTCGGCGATTATTTTCTTTAAATGTATTAACGAATCGTGAAGTTTATCGACAATTTTCTCATCAATCGATTCACTGCTATAAGAAGTTAATGTCAACTGAATCTCTTCGATGCATTGTCTAAAGTGTGCCCTTTCTTTCTTTTCAATTATCATGAATTCGTTGACAATTATCTCATACTTTGTTCCACTCGTTTCCTCTTTAATGGAAAGCAATTTCTCGAGAATCGATGAATAGATTTCGTATCCTTTAATCGCGATTTGTTTCAAATCTTCAATAAAATCTGTTCTGCAAAATGTGTGACAAAGAATAGGGACTCGAGTGGGCGGTAACGCAATCTCGTAGATATGGACGGGAAGGTACTTAAAGCTGGCGACCACTTGCTTGTAGGCAAAGAACTGGAAGTGATCGACGTGTAGGGAGTGCTCAAAACACGGCACCGAACTCGATGTGGCTCTTCGTCTATAATGAGGCGAATAGAACTTAAGGTCCAGATATTTGGCGAACGATAGCGACCACGAGTCGGGAGACAGCGTTGAATACGGGGTTCCGGTCTTGCATTTCTGACACCACGACCACGTGATGATGGCCTTATCGGCCGCCTCCACCTTCTGCTGCAATTGTCTTAACACAATAAGAACACATCCATTGGAGTGTACAAAACGTCGGACGTGTTCTATCATAGGTGTGGAGCAGTTACTGCTCGGACACGTATACGACGGACGAAAACAGTAGCGCTCGAGGAAACCGCCTAACGGTATATCATTGGATCCATAAAAGTCCATATTTATAATCCACGGCTTAACACAATAATTGGGAGCATTGGTCGACGCGTACGAAAAGCTCGAGAATAAAACAAGTAGCGCTCGAGGAAACCGCCTAACGGTATATCATTGGATCCATAAAAGTCCATATTTATAATCCACGGCTTAACACAATAATTGGGAGCATTGGTCGACGCGTACGAAAAGCTCGAGAATAAAACAGATAGGTTTTGATGGACTGTGGGATTCAAGGCATCGATTCGCATAACTTGTTCGGCAATTTTTGTTTCATTTTCAGACAATTTTGTTTCAACTGTTTTTTGTTTCGATTGATTTTCATTGACATTAAAGAAGGGACCGTTGGCTCGAAAGTCGGCAATCAATGACTTAATGTCGTGCGAATTGGAGGGCATTATAATATTTCTGTTCAAAAACGGATGTTTCTTAACAGAAAACGGCTCAACAGGAGACGACTGCTCTCTGTTTCGCATATTCAATGTGTTCTCTACTTTCAAGAGTTCGCTCTCTTTGGATGAATTTTCTTCAAATCTTTTCGACCAAATAATGTTTGGATTGAAAAACTTTCTTAGCTTAGAATTATTGGCCGCAGTTGTCAACAAATAAGGCAAAGGAATGTTTATAAATGGAGAACAACTTAACTGTAATTCAGATAAAAATCTATTCAATTTTGTTGTTAAAGTGTAGAAATTGTCTTCATTTATATCAATAGAGAGCAAGTTGTCAACAAATAAGGCAAAGGAATGTTTATAAATGGAGAACAACTTAACTGTAATTCTGATAAAAATCTATTCAATTTTGTTGTTAAAGTGTAGAAATTATCTTCATTTATATCGGTAGAGAGCACTTCCTCAACATTTGCATTAACCGGTGATAATATCTCACGAGAACTACACTCAGAGACCATTGATCGCAACGGATCTGAATTGTCGTCAACTAAAGAGGTAGAAATGGTTCGTTCGGGTGGTTTCGGTGGACTGGAGTTCGTACCACTGTTTCGTATATTAAGCGCTGAATTGGATTCATCGGGAGATTGAATTGGAACCGAACAGTACTCATCCATAAGAAAAGACCTCTCGAGTTGCCAATTGAAGTCACAAAACACCATAAATGAAAGAATGGCTTTCATTTTCTTCAGTTCTTCGAGAGTGCCTCCTCTCAGAAGAATAGTGGAGCCCAAGTGTGGCTGACAGCCATCGAAATACATTAAAGTCTTTTGATTGAATGTTTGCAAATAAAATTTATGACAAAACCCGAGTTGTGGTAAACCTATTTGGGCGTCCAGTGAGGACACTATAGCGGCGCCCGTGAAGCGAGACATCCTTTCAATGATTACTGGTTTTACGTTACAAACAAGAGTAATGCCGTTCTCTAAGAGCATCTCTTTAGCAATTCTGGCGACAGTCTTCTCCACAAGAATAATGTCCGGACCGTAAGAACAGATTTTTGCGACTAAATTTTGAATGTATTCCTTCTCTTGCAATAGAATTGTGTCCAAAATTGTTAACTTCTTTTCATATCTTTGATAAACAATAGAACACGAAAGCAGAAGAATCTTTGGGTTAGTTATGATTTGTCTCATCCGACGATTGGACACGTTTTTAGTAAACACAATACCATTTATAATATGGCAATCATTTTTCACGCCATTTGGTATTGTCTTAATTTTAATATAATTTCTGATATCCATTTCGTCGATATCGTTGTGACTGTCGGGTCGAACCACTGATGAGATTTTGGTAGACATCCGATGGATCACATTCAGCCAACTCAGTGACAGACACTCGTCTTCCAACAATTGTGTCAATAACTTGACGTATAATTTATTGTACGTATTGTTGAGTGAATCGTAAACAAACTTATTTTGGTAGACATCCGATGGATCACATTTAGCCAACTCAGTGACAGACACTCGTCTTCCAACAATTGTGTCAATAACTTGACGTATAATTTATTGTACGTATTGTTGAGTGAATCGTAAACAAACTTCTCTTCGGTTCCGTCTTTAAGAAGTACCCAATTAGAGGAAGCGGTCGTCACTTCAAAATCAACGCTCAATCCATCCGTTGTTGTCGTTTGAATTTCCATCGGCTTCTCATCCAAAGAATTATCAATAGATTCGTCTTTTTTGTCGGCTTTACTAATAAAGACCCGATCCTTCTCGAAGTCCATCTCTATATCATAGGTTGACGTCGAATACGCTATACGTCTGGCGGGAGAGACCGACGGCTTTGTCTGTCTTAAAGTGGTTTCTGAGCCATAACTATCACTATTTTGGTTGAGTTCAGAGGAGAAGTCAATTTTCTCAAAGCTCTGCGAATCGTTGTCTTCGTTGATCTCTTTAACCCAAAGCGGTTCGTGAGTCGTCTCATCGCTTCTCAATGGCATTATATCGTCGTCACTAATGGGACTCATTTTAATGGGAGATTTTGGTAGACATCCGATGGATCACATTCAGCCAACTCAGTGACAGACACTCGTCTTCCAACAATTGTGTCAATAACTTGACGTATAATTTATTGTACGTATTGTTGAGTGAATCGTAAACAAACTTTTCTTCGGTTCCGTCTTTAAGAAGTACCCAATTAGAGGAAGCGGTCGTCACTTCGAAATCAACGCTCAATCCATCCGTTGTTGTCGTTTGAATTTCCATTGGCTTCTCATCCAAAGAATTATCAATGGATTCATCCTTTTTGTCGGCTTTACTAATAAAGACCCGATCCTTCTCGAAGTCCATCTCTATATCATAGGTTGACGTCGAATACGCTATCCGTCTGCCGGGAGAGACCGACGGCTTTGTTTGTCTTAAAGTCGCTTCTGAACCATAACTATCACTATTTTGGTTGTGTTCAGAGGAGAAGTCTTAAAAGAGTTTCGAGACGCTTAGCAACAGAAGCAACTAGAGAAATTGGGTTTCGCCAAGCACTCAGCAGAGTAGCGAAGAGTTACCGTAATATAGCAGCAGTGATTACCCTGAGTAAAATTACCCTCTCCTATAACTGCCCAATGATTGCAAACTATGCAAAGGCGATGCGGAAGCGCTACTTATCTTAGTTAAGGCCTCCTTATCAATGTCTATAACCCGTGACTTTGGTTTTGCATATTCTTCTTCGCGAAAACCAATGGAACCCTTGCGTCGAAATGACATCAAAGAGTGAGGGCTTGGGATCGGATTAACGCTCAACTGATCCGCACATCTGATTGGCAAAGAAGACTCGTTTTGGTCGAGACAAGCGTTTTGTGCGAAACCTTTGGAGAAAATAATTTCCCGAAACTGATTGAAATCCGAGTCTCTATTCGCGGAGTTTGTGTCCAAATGTTTGTCATTAATGAATTGATTGACAATTTTGTAACAGTAATGACACGACCGAACGGATCCGCGACAGCTTAGGCCCAGAAGTTTGGCGTCAATCTCGTCGTCCGCGCATTTCGTGCAAAATATCTGACCGCAGATCCGGCAGTGATGTCTTCGCCGCAATGCCGTGAACTTATCGCCGCATTCGTAGCACTCTTTGGCGTTATTGTCGGACATCCAACCGATCTTCTCCTCATCGCCGGCCATCTTAAACCTCTTGCGGATCCGTTTGACCAATAGATTCATGTATTTGTT